GTGTGCTGAGTGATTCTTTGAGCATGATCCGGCGGGTTAAGGAAGGCTGGCTACGCAGACAGTAGATTATGTCATTGCAAAACTCTCCTGTTTGTGCAGTTATCTTCATATTTGTCCCAGGTTATGCAGGCGTTGTTGGTAATGAAAGAGCCGATAAACTGGTAAGTACCGCATTAATTGGAGTTTGCCCATGATCACGCAGTCATTGTCAATGCCCTTAGAGAAATAGGACGTCCCGAGGATTTTGGAAGCAACGTGTCCACATCACTGCTAAGAATACAAGAATTGGAAGTAAAGATCGCCACAGCCAAGCATGAGAGGCACACTGTACGCACACGAAGTCTTGTCAACCAGCAAAGGACTGGCACTATTAACCGCACGACGCTGATGAATATGTTGAGGGAGGAATCTGAGCACCTATGGATGTGTCCTGAGTGCTGTGAAGATAATTCACTTGAACTTCAGAAATCATGCTAAAGAAAATGATAGGAAGAGACATGAAGGGTTCGAAGACAAAAGTTAAAGTCTCTGTGTAAATCTAATCTGACAGGAATCAGTTTCATTTTTGTGCCAGCGCACTCTGTGGTAAGATGGAATGAGCAAATGAATTGGCTTGCTGGTAGGAACAGGAAAAGCAGTGCACCAGGTCAGGTGCTTTCAATGAGGCAGGACGAGAAGATAATTCTGGAGACGACGGTGAATCGACAACATTAAAAAGACTACAAGAACTTAGTTTCAAAGAGGTATCACCAAACATGAACACTATACAGACAGCCAAAGAAGAATAGGGAACCATCATGTAACTGGTGCTATCGATCGCTACACTCTGAGGGATATACTGAAGATGGAAGTTGGGATCTGAGTGCTTATGTACTTGTCCGATGTACGATGATGATAATCAGTCAATTAACTAACTAAAACTAACTAATTAGCACCTAGAAACAGTTTCACGCTTTTCTAGAACTCTGACGGCGTCTTGCTGTTCCCGCCATAGTTTCTCCGTTAGTGTATTAAATGTGATGGAAACTCTATTTTTCAAAATATTCCACAAGTGCCGGTGTTGAACACAAAGGTCCTACTGTAATCAATGAAACAAGTATAAAGATCTACACTGTATTTTCTGACGTTTTCAGAAATGGTTGTCTTATTGATGGCATGATCATTTGTTCCTCTGCCCTGCCTGAAACCCACCTGTGCTTCATCGTGTTAGCGCAGCCGATAGGAGGCTCGCTTTCAAATCCATCTGCGACTCGCTGCAGCCACGGTCGGTGTTCGAAACCGGGCTGTTTCCGGGGTTCACCCAGCCTCTAGGAAATAGGTACCAGAGTGGACACTCTGGGGTAAATGGAGGAACATCGCTGTAGCTACAGAGTTACGTTCGAACGGCGACACAGGTGGACAATTTCTTATCAGCTGTCCGTACTGGTGGCAGAGCACTTATGGTTTATAACCGTGTGCAATGACGCTAGTTCACATCTCCCGACTTTACCTTTACCTTTTTAAAGTTCATATTCTAATTTCCTTTCAATCCTCTTTATAATAATTCGTAAGAGGATTTTGCTGGCATGACAGTGCGATGGTACTATATCTGGTGCAAATTTTACACTGGGAAATGGAGTTGGGAAAATAAATCATTAGTGTGTACACTAAAAACTGTCCTTATTTGTAATGTCATTTGTTTGGAGATATTTCGTGTCGTGACCATGAGCAGTGACACAGAGAAAACATTGAGGTCGAAGATCTCTTTTTCTAGGGAGGGAACCTAAGTCTCCAATATCCGGTGCTTCTGTAGATAAGTTTGACACTAATTGAATATTCTACAGCTTAACGATACAGGATAAAGAGAAGTGTCTTCTGGGATACTGCAACAGAACACAATATATCTATGTATAGAATATATTTATATGAATATATTGACAGAAGAATGGTTAATATTCTTTGAGCAGCCAAAATGGATAATCCGGGTGTTTTAAAAGAGGCAAGTCCCAAGGACAACCTATCACAAACATCAGAAGGAAACAGTCACCATATGTTTTCTACAGGTTAGGAGAAAAGGGAAACTGGGATGTATTGCATTACTGGAAAGGTCTGCGGAAAGAGAAATCGAGGAAGACAAGGCTAAAAGATGCTTGACGACCTTTTGTCATTACGTTGAAGTGTCTCACACACACACACACACACACACACACACACACACACACACACACATACGTTAAATGTTGTTATCTCAGGTTGTGGAGAGGTATGATCGTCGACCCCAGCTGACAAATCACTTAGTGATGATATATCAGTGACTTTTGTCTAGTTGTCTGAAACTATTGAAAGCACTATCGTTGGAGCTTGATACATTTAGATCCATTTTATCACTTTAGGTTTTGTATGGTGAACTAACAGCGTAAGAATAGCAAACATCTGGCATGTTTTTTTCCTACTGTTTTTTTTTTTTTTTTTTTTTTTAAACTTCTATTCTGTTTCTACGTCTTGAAATATGATACGATTGTTCATTTAGTGGAAATGTGAAAAGAATTCGCTTTTGATTAAACAACATAATTACAAGCTTTATAGTCTTCAAAACTCAACACGCGACTGAATCCATTCACGGTTCAAAAACGGGTTTAATACTATTATTTAGAAAACTTCTTTTTGCAGAGAAACCGACGGCGAATGTTATGACAAACTAGGTTGTTACGAATTTGTTATTGCTAAATACTAAACATTATAACTTTGTCAGTTGTGACCAGAAAGAGAATTTTTTAAAAGCTATATAAATCCTATCCTGATATACGGAAGTGAATCATGGACAGTTGGTAAATTAGTAAAAATTTATTTGGAAGCTGCAGAGATCCGGTTTTATAGAAGAATGCTGGGAATACCATGGATTGGTGGGGGAGGGAGGGGGGTAATAAAGACATCTTGAAAGAAACTGACACAATAAGAGAACTGATTGCTCACATCAGAAAGAGACAATCTTCATTCTTTGGTCATGTGATGAGAAGGAGAAAACGTGAGTACATCGTGATGGTAGGAAAGTTGGAAGGTAAGAGAGGCAGAGGGAAATCGAGAGAGAAGAATTTGGGCACTTAGCCATAGTATGGAAGATCATCTGTGTCAAAAATAATTAAAAGTACACGAGAAGAAGATTGTGGATAGACATGAATACCAACGCCACACGGCATGGACTTTGAGAATATACAAAACTTTCGAGCAGCTATTGTGCTTACTAGGGAACTGACAAGTATAAGTGAACTAATGAACGTATTTTAACACCCATTACTAAAAAAAATAAAAAAAACACACACACACAAAACAAACAATGGAGAACTAATTATAGTGTTTTGAAAAATATGTGTAATGTCAGTAACTAATGCCATATAATAATGCTACATGATTAATATAGCGTGGTCATTTGTAACGAGTAGATTCATATGCAGACGGACTTTGACAAAAGATTTACGGAGTTCTTCCAATTAGATTACTTTTCAACTTTCATGAAGTTTTAATTTAAGGAAATAAAAGCTAATAGCGTGGGTGAACTAAGTTCTAAAATGTTCGAATTCGTAGGATGTAATATTTGTTGAATGTTTATAAACAATGCACAATAGTTTCCGTTGTAAGGTCCTTAATTTAAAAAAAAAATTTTTAAGGTACTCTTTATCTCTATAAAGTCGAAGGCCAGTGATTTCTGAAATGAAAAGTAGCTCCTGAGCCCAAAAAGGTTAGCCATCTGTGGTTTTAGAGATTCTTTGAAACATACTGCCATTCAAAGAATCTCCAAACTTTACAGCTATCGAGGGATTATCTACAATTCGCAGCCATTTAGAGTCTCTCATTGCCATCCAGGCATTCTCTAAAACTCACGGCCATCTAGGGATCATCTATACTGTTAATTTTATAACAAAAACACATTAGATAACCAAAAGCGCCTATTTAATTGTTGACCAGAGAGCCCGTACACTTAAAAACTATCGATGACCCTGATGCAGTATTCTTGTGTGTAATTGGAACCATTTCACTCATTACATTACATAACCCTTGACCCGTTAAGTTCGGGGAGGTGGGTCAATGAAAGCACTAGCACACAAAACCTGCCATCTTTCTCTGGTTTTCATTTATTGAACAAGTGTGTAGTAATTGTGTGTAGTCTTGATATTGTCATTTTAGGTTTTTCTTTGCTCCCTCTTCTTCGACTCGACCCCCCCCCCCCCCCACCACCTTTTTTTCCCCTAAATCTTTCGTGAAGTATAGTTCGATTATGTCTTACCACGTGTCCGAGCCAATATAACTGGCATCGTTTCACCACAATCAGAAGAGGCTCCGGATATCCTGCAAATTTGTTTATTTCATCTCTTACATATTTGTTGGTTTTATGTTGTAAATAGCTAGTTCGTCTAAAGCATTTATGTTCGAAAGCCTGAATCCTCATTTCCATTTCCACAGTGAGAGTCTAATTCTCACATCCGAAAAAGAAAATAGATAATATCAGTTATTTGTAAATATTTAGCTTTACTGGTGTGCATTACATTACACAGAATTTTTTGTAAAAACTGGTATTAAATTTTAACCTCTCTTCCTAAGGCGGTGGTCACTTTAATACAATTCCGTGTAGTGGCGACCCCCCAACCAAACAATTATTTTCGTTGCTTCTTCACAACTTCATAACTTCAATGAATATATGCTTTCCGGTGGTCTTTGGCGATCCCTGTGAAAGAACAGATCGACCCAAAAGTGGATCGCCACCCATAGGTTGAGAACCGCTGCTTTAGAGATTGCCGATATGTAAAATTCACGGTTATCGGGGAATTTGTTAACGCTCACAGAACATGTGTCAGCTTTGTCTAGGTCAATTATTGGCTTGCATTGACAACTTTTTCTGATGATGGCTTTGTAGTTGACAGGATAAAGGTTGACCAAAGTCGCACATACTCCTTGACTGAGTGACAATGGTAACGATTGCTACAGTTACGTAAGCTGTCTGTCTTGGTGGTGGTAGTTGACTGCACTTACATATACCCCTTGCCTTTGACACGTTTTTGTTTCTCTCTGTACAAAGTGAAGTAACCATTGCCTAACCGGGAACCTGGGGCAGACGATGTGTCCAACAGCGGCAAACTTGAAGTCGTGTGTACTCGCTCACTACTGCCGGTCTTGCTGGATTCTTTCACGGAGGGTTCGATGATTTTTCGTGGACTCAGTTTCGAATTGTTCTTTTGGGGCGGGAATTTTTGACTTTTCTGTCCTGGGGACATTAAGAACATTTTTGTTTCTTCAGAATTGCTCTCTTGGCCACTGTTGTAAATCACACTTCCGAGATATTCAGACAAATGTTTCACTTTAACTTCGGCGTTGTTCTGTTTCCGCTCAAGATGTTGGATACGTGAGTTTGTAAGCGTTTGTTCGTGTTTCGTATTTGTCAGCTCGATGTTTCTCTCCACAAGCATCTGCCGCAATTTCATATTTTGGTCAATCAAAACTTGTTTGTCTGTCACAGGATTGTTTCTAACTGAGGTATTGAGATCATCTGTTTCGTCCTCAGATTTAACTCGGTTCTTCAACGTACTCACAGTCCTCTCTGCCTCCTTCAAGCGAGTCTCTAGCATGGAGACTTCTTCTTTCTTTTTATCTAAATCTTGTTCAACTTTGACGCGATGATCTTTCTCCTGCTCCCATTTGCGAAGATATTTTTTGCTTTCTTTACCAGCCTCAATTAAGTCATGGTTCTCTTGGCGAAGCATGTCGTTGATTCTGGCCATGTCTTCCCGTTCCTGTTTCAACTTGTAGTTCTCCGACAAGCTGCTATCGATTTCCGCTTTGAGTGAAGCAATCCTGGATACCAGTGATTCTTTCTCCTTGTCTCTTGACGCTTGTTGCGACTCATTCAACTTCTTGATCTCTTGTGTCTTCACTTCCGAATCCTTTCTCAGCTGGGCTATAATTTTGTCCTTCTCTTCATTATCAGATTTTGCTTTTGTCAACGTACTATCTTGTTCTTGAAGCAGCTCCTGCAATTTCTGTTTGCTGATTGCCAGGTCTCTCAATTTTTTGTTCATCTCGGTTACATCTTGTTTGAGTTTTTTATTCTCGTCTTGTAAAACGTTCAGATTTGCTTCCGACAAAACTTTTGTTTGTAGTGAATTAGTTAGATCTTCTATTTCTCTTCGTTTGTTTTCTACGGAATCTGTTAAACTTATATTGTCATATTCCAGTGATTTAACTTTGGCTTCTACAACTTTTTTCTCACACTCCAAATCTTTCATTGTAGCTTGAAGATCTCGGATTTTAGTCTCCAAGCCGCGGGTTTTTTCATTCTCGTGGGATTGCAGCTTGCTGTTTAAAGACTCTATATGTTGTTCGAGCTCTTTCACCTTGTTTTCCAACTCCGTGTTCACGGTTCTAATCTTTGCACTGTCGAGCATAACCAACTCCATCTGTTGTAACTTTTTGTTATATTCTGCAACCAGTTTGGCTTTATCTGACTCTAGTTTCGTTACTTTTGCTAATAAGTCAATATTTTCAGGTTTTTCCTTAACTGCTTTCATCCCGTCCAAAGTTTTTCGCAGTTCTTTATTCTCTGTAGACAACCCCTGGCACTGGTGAACCATTTGTTTCAATTCTTCTTCCAGCTGTCTGATCCTCATTCTGTAAACTCTCTCCGTCTTCGCCATGTCATTTCTTTCTGTCAAAACATCCTCAAACGTTTCGTTAGCATAGTCAATTTTGCCTGACTTCGCCATTTTGGAATTTAGTACAATTGCCGTTTGCTGAATGCTGGGTCTCGGATTATTTTCGGAGGAATGATTGTCTGGCTTGTCCTCACTTTGTTTGTTGTGTTCCTTATGGTTATTGGCACGAGGTTCGTTATTCTCTAAAAAATTTAGAAGTTTTTTCTAATACTGGTGTATATTCTGTTTCATGGTTGTTCCTTTCAAAATGTGTATTCACTGAAGACCTAAGATTGTAACCATGTTGACTACGATCTGAAGCTGAAGTATTATAAATGGTTTCGTCTTTTGCTGCTTTCTTTGATGCACTTTTAGATACTATCACTTTCTGCGATCTGTTAATTTGGGATTTCTTTGTGTGCTCAGTGTGCACCAATAAACTCTGCTCTGAGATATCTGTATCACCAGTCACAGTTTCCTTTTTCAGTATATATGTTTCATGTATTCGTTTCGTTAGCTTATTGCTGACATAGGTTTGACCTATCAAATTGTTTGAGATTCCTGATATTTGAGCGTCAGTGGACGGAGAGAGTCTGTCTGACACACTCTGGTTCCTCTCTCTATTTCGTATCTGGACTGGATGCAGAGGAGTAGAACTTTGATGAACCTGAGGCTCAGCTGTCTTGGTTAAGAATGTCTGACTTTCACTAACAGGCTTTGCCTTGACTGAACGACGATATGTTGCTTGTGCTGATGTTGTAGAGCTGGCTTCTGAATCAAGATTGTAGTTGTTTGTTGCTGTTAGTTTTGTTAAGTTTTGACGAGTTTTACGATTGTCTACGAACTGTACAGATCTTTCAATAAACGTCTCTGGGTGTGCGTTAAACGACACGGTTTTTCGTATTCTAGAAGCTTCTACAGATGCTGTGTTCGAACTACCGGTTATTGCTGTAGTGCCTACTGCACGAGGCATAATTTTTTCATCGCGGTACAGTTCATCGCGTCCAGCTGTTTCTTTGTGACCTGGCCTGTGTTTACTGCAGTCTGGTTGAGTAAACGAATGTCGACCTTCCTTCTGTGAATATGTTTGAGTCTATTCCTGACGGACGAAGACAACGCTGCAGCAGCATCACTGTTTGAGGAGTTCCTGTTGGTGACAGCAGTAGGGACAGAGGTCTCTGTGTTTGAGGGGTTCCTGTTGGTGACAGCAGTACGCACAGAGGTCTCTGTGTTTGAGGGGTTCCTGTTGGTGACAGCAGTACGCACAGAGGTCTCTGTGTTTGAGGGGTTCCTGTTGGTGACAGCAGTACGCACAGAGGTCTCTGTGTTTGAGGGTTCCTGTTGGTGACAGCAGTACGCACAGAGGTCTCTGTGTTTGAGGGGTTCCTGTTGGTGACAGCAGTACGCACAGAGGTCTCTGTGTTTGAGGGGTTTCCTGTTGGTGACAGCAGTACGCACAGAGGTCTCTGTGTTTTGAGGGGTTTCCTGTTGGTGACAGCAGTACGCACAGAGGTCTCTGTGTTTGAGGGGTTCCTGTTGGTGACAGCAGTACGCACAGAGGTCTCTGTGTTTGAGGGGTTCCTGTTGGTGACAGCAGTACGCACAGAGGTCTCTGTGTTTGAGGGGTTCCTGTTGGTGACAGCAGTACGCACAGAGGTCTCTGTGTTTGAGGGGTTCCTGTTGGTGACAGCAGTATCTGCCGATGCTGCGTCAATGTTTGTATACGGCTGTTTTTGCCCGCTTAGCTGGCTGTTAATGGAGGTTAGTCTATGTTTCCTGTCAGCAGCATTATCTGGGACTTCTTTAAAGGACACAATGTTATCTAAAGCTAAGTCAGTACCACTAGATTTTGTACAGTTGTTTTCTGTTGGAATCTCGAAAGTTCCAGAAGCAGCTTGAATATCTGTAGAGTCAATGGTGAAGGTACCTTGACGGGTACCTATCGTCTGTACCACACTCATCGTCTGCTGCTGACACACATATACACGGCAGAAGTGGAGGATGCACTATTTCAGCATTGGCCGCCATGTTGTCTTCGGCAGAAAATAATATCTGAAAAGAAAAAAAAGATAGTACGACTGACCACCTCACAAGAGAAAAATTTATCTGTAAATTTTACATAATTGTATTTTATGTGTGATGCAACTAGAAATACGCTTTAGACACCTGCTTCTGCTTTTGACTAATACGTCAAAACATGCTTATTTTTAAAAAAAAATCATACAGGTCAAAAATAACACACAATGGGAAGAGGGGGATGGACAATTTTGTGTGATTTTTGAGCTGAATGTTTCTTAACGCATTTGTGTAAAAACGTATATACCTTGTTAATATATAAATACGACAAGGGAGTTTACGTTGTGCTGGAGGAAGATTCGGTTTAAAAAAAAAAATACAATATTTAATGAAACAATGCTGCACTCAAATGACAATGTCATATTTGTGGGCAATTGAGCAAAATAAATACCAGCAACCGTAAAAGTACTACCGCACCTGTTGACATCGCACGTTATGCACCCGCTCTGACATATAACTAGCTAATTTACTCTATGAGTTCCGCATTTTATCGATGACTAAAACAATTCAGCGCAGTTGTCATGAAAGAAAAGGCCTAAACTGATTTTTAAAGGCCTCACAGATTTTTTAATTATTTTTTTATTTTATTTCTTCAGAGCACGAAAGACACTATTATTATTCTGAAGTGTCTTTTCCTGCTTGTCACTTGGACTAATTTGATCAATCGATATTGGCAACGATTCACTGAATGTGCATTCAATCGATTTTTCTCTTTGTCAATATCGTATCGATCTTGGAGGGGGCCTTCAAACGTTGTATCGGGTCTGCTGTTTACCTAACACACCAACTATTTGTACCTGTCACTGATCAGGTTGTAAAACGATATTTCCCTGACTTCTGTTTAAGGATTGTAAGGCTGATAATGGTACTCTACCAGCATATTCTGTCGTTACGGTGTAAAGTTCTGGGCAAAAATGTCGTCTTTGCCGAAAAAAGATGAAGACGGCATTCTCATGGCACGTTGTGTTGTGGTTTACAGCAAAGATGCGATGTCTGAACCTTTCAGCCCAACAAATCTTTTTTCAACGAAATGTTGATTAGGAACAGTGGGTCTGTTCTTTCTCCCCCAAAAGAAGACCCTGCAATCTTCACGGAAATGCTTTATATTATAGATCTCGATATCAGAGACAGTGTGCTTGTTCTTCGTACTATATGAATTACTTCTTCTCTTGTTCTTTTCTGCATTTCAGCGCAAGGGGTTGAAAAGGCACCGGGTGTCTTAATATGTGCTACGTCAGTGTTTCTGAAGGTTTTCACACCTACTTACTGCCCACTACAACAAGGGCGAAATTGTATTGCGGTCCATCTGACAGTTAACCAGTCACAGAAACAAAAAAAAAACAAATGTAGATGGCAGGCAGTTCCTTTGTTAAATCTGACGACATAAAATTACAATAATCATTCGCGGCGCAGCGGTCCAAGAAGTGTGCCCTCAAAGTTCTGAAGTGTGCGACGTAGGTGCAGATATTTATGGTCTCCGATATTCCATCAATACATTGCTTACGGGGTCGACCTCTATACCTAAGTGATACAGTTATCTGTGGTGACTGTCTGGTAGTAATCTTGACACGTGTCTGGACCATCTGATCTGTTGTCTCTTCGTGTAGTTTAGTACTCAGTCAGTTCCGACTTGTTTCCTGTTATCGCCATTAGTGATCCAGTCTCTTCTAGTTACATACAGGATTCTTCGTACACTTTTCATTTCTGTTGTTTCGATTTCTTTCATTTTCCTTGTGTTGTTAATGTCTTGAATTTAAAAAAAACGAAAATAATATCCACAGATAAAACTGGCTGTCACCCAAAAATAACAATAAATGATGACGAAACTAAAAATGTCACAAACTTTGAATATCTAGGCTCTATAATAATCAGCAATGGATACTGTTTGACAGAAATTAAAAGAAGGATGTCCATAGCTATGGCCATGGCCTTAAAAGTCTATGGTTAAGCACCAGCAAAGAGATCAAAATTAGAATTTCGAGAGCATGCCTCTTCCCTGTGGCTACAGACGGATGTGAGTCGTGGACTATCTCTCAGTCCTTAAAAGAGAATAGGGGCTTTTGAGCTGAAATGCTATAGAAATATTCTCAAAATATTTTGGACAAAGAAGAGGAGAAATATTGACATCTCGAAAGATCTGAATATCAGGAGAGATTGGCTAATAAACAGCATCCTGACTCAGAAGCTAAAATATTTTGGTCATATCAAGCGCTAAGACGGATTGGAAAAAAATATAGCAGAAGGAATGGTACCAGGAAGGAGGGGCAGGGGCCGACCGACACGAAAATGGGCACAGCATATAATTGACTCCTTGAGTATGAAAGTACATGAGGCGGGAGAACTGGCGAGAAACCGAGTTTCTTTCAGGCAGACTGTGATGAGAGCGACGTTCTGCAAAGGACCTGCTACATGATGATGATGATGATGTTAATGTCTATGTTTTGAACTGTCTTGGTACAAGAAAATCATCATCATTATCATCATCATGTGCCCTGCCAACCGGCGTAGGCGCTCATGCGTCTCCACAGATCACAATCCCTGGTGGACTGGAACAGCTCTCTTGATGATATCTCCCCATGCCATCGTTTCAGCCCATCCAGCATCATCACTCTTGGTCTGCCTCTACCCGTCTTTCCACTGATGTTCTCCAATGTCTCTCTTCTCGTTATGTGGCCAAAGAACAGTGTTTGTCTCTTTCTTATTATTGTATATAGAGATCTACTTTCATTGGCCTCTTTCAAGCAATCGATGTTAGTTACTCTGGCCGTCCAAGGTTTTCGTAACATTCGTCTCAGAAACCACATCTCTGTTGCTTCCAAGTTCTTCCAAATTTGTTCACCGACATTTCAAGATTCGCTGCCATACAGCAGAACAGGTTCTATGTAACATTTTAGCACCCTCTTTCTGACATTAAATGAGAGCGATTTATTGCATAAGATATTTTTCATTTTCTGAAATGCACTTTCGCTTGACCTATCTGCTTTTAATCTATGTCA